CTACTACTACTACTATTATTACTACTACTACTACTACTACTACTACTACTACTACTACTACTACTACTACTACTACTAACTACCTACTACTACTACCACTACTACTACTACTACTACTACTACTACTACTACTACTACTACTACTACTACTACTACTACTACTACTACTACTACTACTACTACTACTACCTACTACTACTACTACTACTACTACTACTACTACTACTACTACTACTACTACTACTACTACTACTACTACTACTACTACTACTACTACTACGCGATCATCGTCAGACGCTTATCCTCAGAAAGACTGTTGAAGCTCAGGCCCCACCCCCCGAAACTCTACCCTCAGAAGCTCCATCCTCGGAATAACTGTTGAAGAACCACGAGGGCCTGCATAAACCCAACCTCCATAGAACGACCGTTGATACTCGGGCCGCACGAGCCCCTGGGAAGTCACACCCTCGGAAACTCCATCCTCAGAAAACCTCATCCTCATAAGGTTTGGTTCGTGTTTCTCGCGCCGATGCCGACGGCTTACAAGTGCTGCTGCTCTCAAGGTGCCTCGTTATGGCACGCATGAGGGCATGAGATCTTCATCCTCCGAATGCTTGGCGTGCAGCCCAGGCCGGCCGTCAAAAAAAAACACAAAGCAGGCGGCCCAATTGCGAGGCTATCCTCAAGAATTCTTGGCGCGATGCTCAGGCTGGCTGCCATGGCCTCCAAAATCCACGGGCTGGGTGGCGTCTTCAAGGTGCCTCGCACAGGCACTCATGAAGAAAGACAGTGTGGGCACATCCGTCTAAACAAGCACAAAGAAAAACGCATCGCGATGCACTCTTCACGATGGTCCAAAAGACAAGCCATGCCTCGCGAGGGAGACACTCGAACCTCATCAGACGTCCATCTTCCGAAAGCTCAAAACTTGCTCAGATGTCGGCCATCTGCGTGTCAGCGGCGTCGTCCACCTGCGTCTCCGCTGCGTCACCCTGGCCGTCGTGCGGGCTACGCACTGGGCGCTCACCGTGCAGCTCCCCGTGCTTTTGGCTCATGCGCGTCGAAAGGAAACTGCCCGTTGGCTCAATCACCGCGTGCACCTCATGTGCAAGCGAAGGGGCCTCAGCGATCAGCATCATGTATCTTCATGTTGGGGCCCTCAAAATCAGCGAGTTTGTCAACATTCATACCCAACAACCTGGAGACCTCATCCGTGTGCAACTTCAGAGCCAAGTGGCTCGACATCGTCTCACCGTTGCGGTTGGCTGCCTCGTGGTCCTCGCGCTGATGCTGGAGTCCCTCCTTCGCTGGGTGAAGACGCTCTGTGGGTCATCATCTTTCGAGTCGCCGTGCCTCGTTCACTCCTCGGGCCCGTATTTTCTGGCTGGAGTCGCTCTCTGGTCACCGGTGGCCGTCACACCCGCGATGCGAGGTGCAGACACAACAAGGTATGTCGGACCTTCGAGAAACTGTTGCGGCTGCACCGCGCGGTTGCGGCTCCCCACCAGAGCCCAACAAAGTGCCATCATCATCATCATCATCATCATCATCAGCATCATCATCATCATCATCATCACCACCATCATCATCATCAACATCATCATCATTATCACCATAATCATCATTATCATCGTCATCATCATCATCATCCTCATCATCATCCTCATCATCATCATCATCATCATCATCATCATCATCATCATCATCATCATTCTCATCAAATCATCATCAGCATCAGCATCATCATCAGCATCGTCATCATCAGCATGATTAGCATCGTCATCATCAACATCAATCACTTCCATCACCATCAGCATCGTCATTAGCAGCATCATACCCCCATTGTCAGCCCCATCCCCCTCATCATCATCTTCATTCTCTTCGCAATCCCCATCCACATCCACATCCTCATCCTCATCCTCATCTTCAACCTCCACCTCATGCTCATCCTCATGCTCATCCCCATCCTCATCCTCATCCTCCTCCTCCTCGCCATCATCACCAATATCCGCCGGCCCCCTTGTGGGGCCACCAGGCTGTAGGACCGTGATTCGCAGTTTCCTGTACCAGTTGTAGTTTCTAGTTTCCAGTGTTACAGTTCTGCTTCTTGCTGGTTACTGTAACTAGTTGACTTCTTGCTGATTGCTGTAACTAATTGATTGACCGCGCGAGGGGGGGGGAGGCCCAAACGGGATTTTTAGCACCCCCTGGGCGCGTTGTCTGAATTGCTGGGGGGGCTCGAAATCGACACCCCTCACGCAGATCCGCGGGGTCAGGGTCCAAAAACACAGGGGATTTGCCACATTTCTGAAATTCGGTGCCACCCCTCACGCAGATCCGCGGGGTCAGGGTCCAAAAACACATGGGATTTGCCACATTTCTGAAATTCGGTGCCACCCCTCACGCAGATCCGCGGGGTCAGGGTCCAAAAACACAGGGATTTGCCACATTTCTGAAATTCGGTGCCACCCCTCACGCAGATCCGCGGGGTCAGGGTCCAAAAACACAGGGATTTGCCACATTTCTGAAATTCGGTGCCACCCCTCACGCAGATCCGCGGGGTCAGGGTCCAAAAACACATGGGATTTGCGGATTTTTCCACATTTCTGGTGCCACCCCTCACGCAGATCCGCGGGGTCAGGGTCCAAAAACACAGGGATTTGCCACATTTCTGAAATTCGGTGCCCGCGGGGTCAGGGTCCAAAAACACAGGGGATTTGCAACATTTCTGAAATTCGAACCCATCACGCACATCCATCGCAAGGCGTGGTAACCCAAACTGCGAGAACTCCCTCGGCCCTTTCATCGCAAGGTGTGGTAACCAAGCCCTTAAACCATACACGTCTTACCAATCGCCAGGTGTGGTAACCCCTCTTGTGATCAGTTGGTTTTGCTGATTGCGACTCGGCTTCGCATGAAGTTTCGATACTGCTTCACGACAGCGCCAAGGCCTCATGACTTAGCTCTTCCATGGCCCATTCTCCGAGAGAGGGGGCCGGCGGCAGGGGGCGAAGCCCTTACGGATCATCACCGACATCATCACCCTCATCATCATCATCATCAGCATCATCACCAGCATCATCACCACCATCGCCATCATCGCCGTTTTCATCCTCATCTTCATCCTCCACCTCATCCTCATCCTCATCATCACCATCATCACCATCATCATCAGCATCACCAAGATCATCACTAGCATCATCATTATCAGAATCAGCATCATTACCAGCATCACCAACATCATCATCACCACCATCGTGATCGTCCTTGTAAGTGTCATCTCATTATCATTATCCTCATCCTCACCCTCATCATCATCTCCATCTCCATCTCCATCATCATCATAGCATCGTCATCATCACCAACATCATCAGCATCATCGTCATCATCAGCATCATCACCAGCATGACCATCATCATCATCAGCACATCACCACAATCGCCATCATCGCCGCTTTCATCCTCATCTTCATCCTCCACCTCATCCTCATCCTCATCATCAACATCATCATCACCAACATCAACATCAACATCATCATCATCATCATCATCATCATCATCAGCATACTCACCAGCATCACCAGCATCAACAACATCATCACCACCATCATCACTACCATCGTGATCGTCCCCGTGAGTGTCATCACATCATCATCATCATCTCCATCTCCATATCCATCATCATCATCATCAGCAGCATCATCATCATCACCATCATCGTGATGAACCATCACCATGAATCACCATCATTATCATCATCATCATCATCATCATCATCAGCATCATCATCATCATTATCATCATCCTCCCCATCATCAGCAGCAGCATGATAAGGATGATGATGATGATGATGATGATGATGATGATGATGATGATGATGATGATGATGATGATGATGATGATGATGATGATGATGATGATGCTGGTGACCATCATCAGTATCATCATCATCAACAACAACATCATCATCACCATCATCAGGTTCATCATCGTTACCGTCACCGCCTTGGCCATCGTCGTCATGGCCCTTCTCGCCACCACCATCGTGACCTCCTCGCGCCCCACCCCACCCCCAGCGCCTCGCGACCTGGCCTCCGCCCGAGCGCGGGCGGCTGGGGATGGCCAGGTGCTCCACCAGCCTCCTGGGAGGGCCGCGCGCGGCCCTACACCCCCTGCCTCATGCTTGCTCTCCTCCTCGGGGTCCTCCTCCTCTTCGCCCTCCTCGCGCCCCTCCGGCGCAGCCCTGCTCCGGCGCCTGCGGCTCCTCCTGCGCCTTGTCGTTCGAGGCCGTCTCCTCCTCCTCCTCCTCCTCCTCCTCCTCCTCCTCCTCCACTTCCTCCTCCCACGTCCTCGCTCTCCTCCCCTCCTGGCGACCGCGGCCGAGGCTGAGGCCCTGGTGGCGGCAGGCCCAACGCCGCCGCGAGGCGGAAGAACTCCACCCTGACGAAGAACTCCACCCTGTCGCGCCCCGAGGCGTGTCGGTAGGGCAGGCCCCGGCGTTTCGCGCGAGACTTCCTCACCATGCATGGTCCTTCAGCTGAAAGTTTGCAACAGTTTCGCGGACGGAGGGCGGGTCGTTTTTAAAATGTGCCTCTCACCTTAGCGCCGCGCGCAGTCATTTCAACAAACTGCAGGTGTTTCACGGATGGGGGGCGGGCGGTTTTCAAAATGTGGTTCTCGTCTTAGCGCCGCGCGCATTCGTCCGAAAAGCATGCAGGAATTTCACGGAGGGTGGTGGTACTATTTCAAGATATGGCTCTCGCCTTAGCGCTGGGTACATTCGTCTTTAAATATTGCCGAAGTTTTGCGGATAGAGGGCGGGCGGTTTTCACATGGTGGCTCGCGCTGCACAACTTCGTCCTCAAAGTTAACAGGAGCTTCACGGATGGAGAGCGGTACCTTCAAAACATGTGGCTCTCGCCTTAGCGCCGCACATATTCGTCTTAAGAGTTTACAGCAGTTTCACATGTTATCGTGGTTGGCTTCCCAGAAACGGTCATTTTGCATGATGTAGGACTGTCAGGGCGAAACCGTTGCGTTGATTCGCGGTGTTGAAGTCCCAGGAATGGTGTTCTGGTGCGGTCCAGGATTTTCAGACGGTTGCCTTCCACGGGGCACTTCCAACAATGAAAATGAATGTTTGTAGGGACCTATGAAAAAGGGAGCCTGGAGAGAGGTTTTATTGCAATATCGTTGATGCGTCTTGGGTTTACACTGGTCCTCCTCCTCCTCCTCCTCCTCCTCCTGCTCCTCCTCTCCTGCTCCTCGTCCTCCTCTTTTTGTTCTGCATGCCCGGGCACGCCGCGGCGACCCGCGCGCTCGTCCCCCACAAGCGCCGTGGAGGCAAAAAAGGAGGTGGGGGAAGACGGGGACGGCGGCGGCGGCAGGGCGGATGCGGCGGAGCGGGAAGGGAGAGAGAAAACGGGGGATAGAGAGAGAGAGAGAGAGAGAGAGAGACCGCCCTTCTCGGCGTTTACCCCCCCCCCAAACAGCCGGTAAAAACAAGTCGCGTCAAGGATGACAGCGCACGCGCCTTGCTCGGACACCGTCTGCGCGGCGGGCCGGGCGACGCCGCGCGGGGGGGCCAAGAAGCGGCCCAGAGGGGGGGGGCGCCGAACGGCGAAGTGGGCCCGGCCCAGCGGCGGGGAAAACCAGGGGCAGGGCGCCCGCGGGCGGGGGGCGCGGGGGGCAAGCGTTTAAGGAAAAATGCCAGGTACTGGCCCGGCACTGCGAGACGACGAAGCTTGAGGCTTGTGTCCCAACCCTCCTGTGGTGTTGGGTCCTCGTTTTGAAAGAGGCGGTCCCCGCGTTCCTCTCCTCTCCTCTCCTCTCCTCCTCCTCCTCCTCCTCCTCCTCCTGCTCCTCCTCCTGTTCCTCGTCCTCCGCATCATCATCGGACACGTGCTGAACGAGGAGGGGGAGGGGGGCGGAGAGAACGGCGCAGCCACGAAGAGAGGATAGAAGCGAACGCACCGAGGGGAGACTGACGAGGGCCAGCCGGGAACTCCTGAAGTCGCACCAGTCGCCTGCGAGGTGCGCCACGAAGAATGCCAGGAGGACCGCTGAGATCCCGATGAAGAGGCCACACACACCCTGAGGGAGGAGAAAGTGGAGATGACGAGAGTAGAAATGAGGATGTAAGAAAAAAGCGATGTCTTCCGTAAAGGATGTGCAGCGTATGACGGTCTACGACGGAATGTCTAAGGCAAGTCTAACGCGGGCGTGGTTCACTGATCAGGCCTTGAGCCAAGACAGCGCAGCGGGCCAGCAAAAGGGGGAAACAAGGTACTGGACAAGGAGCTACCGTTCGAGTCTGGTGCTCAAACAAGTCAGTCGTGCCGTCAAAAGCTTCAATCCGAAAGAAGGGCTCTTCGAACCGCCCCCTTCAGGAAAACATGCCTGGCCGCGAGGGGACACGTTCAACTGGTTTCGGCAAATATGCAAGACTATAAAGAACACTGCCGAAGCAAACGCGAACTGACTGGACACAGGCCGAGCAAGCCCGCTCACTTGGGTGCTCTACTCGTCAATCTCGCTCGTTGATGTCGTGCATCTGCTTGCCGCGACCGTGTGGCCTCGCGAAACAGTCATAAGAGTCATCTCCTTACTTCTGCGTCAGTGAGCTATGCTGTGAGCTCGGGGCGGCCTTCTTCAGCTTCTCGTCGCTGAACTTGACCGCGTCGTGGTCGTAGCTGGCCTGGCCGCCCATCACGCTGAGGGTTAGCTCTCGGCTCATGCTGCCCTTGGTCATGGGGTTGGCCCGCGTGTCCGGAATGTCGCGCCAGTTCAAATCGTCGATCCGATTGGTGCGCAGCTGGTCGGCTAACCGCCGCAAGTGGCCAGCCATGCTGTTCTCGGACGGCGGCCGGACCGGGCCCATGAGCATGGCGCTGAGAACGGACACGCCTTCTATGACGAGGCCTGCAGGGATCGCGCAACCTCCTTCCCCCCTCAGCCCCCTGATCTCCTCGGCAGGGGCGGGGCCGTGCACCGCCTCGCGCCGCGTTAGGCGGCGCGCCTGCAGACCGCCTGATACGCCGCATGCTGCGAGCAGCTCAGAGCTGAATGAGGATCTGCACACATGAACGCGCGGTCGGCTCACAGCGCCCAGCAGGTGGCGCGCCTTTTTGCCGTCCAGCGGGACTTGCCCAGACGCGTGCATACGGCTCCTTTTTATGCCGTATCCTGACTTCTCCTCCCTCTTGAAGGGCCCGTCGCTGCGCGCGCTGAGTCGACCGGCGCAATCCATCAATGGGAATGCGATGCGTGCCTTATCTTCTGTATGGCCAGAACAAATGAGCTGAGCTGCGCCACGCGTAGGATGAGCAGCTCGTTGCGTGGCTCTCTGCAGGGCGACGATGTACACTGCGAGCGGTGCTGGGTGAGCAGGGCGCAGGGCGCTGCTCCAAGAAGGGAAACAAAACAAGTCGGGAAACTGACCTCCGGCCAGCTCGTCAACCTTGGCCTTGACCAGGTCGACGTGTCTGATCGGTATCAGGGCGTCGGCGTCGATGTACTCGTCCTGGTCGAGCGTCACGGTGTCATCGGCACTGCTGTGCTGATGCACTCCGCAAATGGTGAACTCGTCGTAATCGCCCATCACCGCGCTGAAGACGCTTTCGATGAGGCTGATCAGCCGGTCGACGTGCCCCCTGTGCCCAGCGACCTTCAGATCGTTTACGCGCGTGGACTACGCGAGCGCTAGCTCCGAGACGCCGGCAACACAGCTGCTGGACGCCGCGTGATTGACCTCGAGCTGCGGGCCCCACCTGGTAGATTTGGCGCTGCACTGAGGAGGGCGCGTGACCTGGGTGAGCTTCATGGAAAAAGCCGGGGGCGCATCCTTGCAACCCGTGCCAGGCTTTATGCTTGGTGCAGCGCAAGCTCTCTTATCCGAGCACCTACCTGAGGACCGCTGCGCTGCGGGGTGGCAGGGCGAAGTTCACGTCTCGAGGTGCTTCGCCTTGCTCCTGCATCTCTGCATAGGTCATACATTACAGGAGTGCCTCCTCGACGTCAAAGGCGACGCACGCACAGTCGGGGCGGCGCGCCGCCTCTGGGGATAGTAGGCGCTGAAACGCCCACTTCGCTGTCTCAGTGAACGCCTCCAGGGCCCCGGCGTCCATGTCGCGGAAGCCCCTCAGCGCCGTGCGGCGCCGGGCGTTCCTGACAGTCATGCCCTCGGATCCCTTCCTGTGCTTCCACTTGAGGACATATCTGGAGACCATTGCCTTTCGGGCGCCATTGAGCGGCCTTGTACATGACCCAGATGGTGAGCTCCTCGAGGATGGCGGATGGCTGCTGCGACCTCCTTCGACTGCTTCGACGCTTCCTCGCCGATCAGAATTCAGCGTCGTCGCCGCGGTTTTCACGGCGGCGCAACTGTTAGGCGCAGCTGTCGGAGGAGCGCCGGCGACGCAGTCGCCGGACGCAGCCCCTGTCTGAGGGGCGCCAGCGACGCAGTCACTGGACGAAGCCTCGTTAAAGCTCAGGAATGCTTCGCGCACGCCCGACTCAATATTACAACTACACATGTCCACCGACATCACCCCCCCTGCAGCGTGGCGTAGCCGTCCAAGGAGGCCCTGCGCAAATAGTGGTGGCACTGCGCGTAGATGTTCTGGCGCTGGTGCTACGTCTCGAGGCGCGGGGGCCACTCGCGCGGTCCGCGGCCTGGGTCGGCCGCGGCGTGCTCGACGGCAGAGGAGATCTCATGCCGGCTGTCGGCGCTCTCCAGTTTCTCCAGCTCCTGGGGCAGATATTCTGCCCCCTCGACTTCGCGCCGGGCTGCCAACATCACCTGCTGGGTTGCGGCCAGAGAAGTCGCTGCCGGTCTCCTCTGGCACGTAGCCGACAGGGCTGGCGGAGATCCACCTTCGGTGGCGCTGGCGGTGTCCTCGAAAACGTCGATGATGCAGTCGTTGACGTTCCGCCCAGGTCGGAGCCCGCCGATGAGCTGGCGGACGTCGAACGTGACGCCGCTCAGGTGGAGCTGTTGGACGTCGGCAGGGTTCCGAAGGAACCGCCAAATTGCCAGACTGCGGGTGCGTCCCGGCCAATCGCTAACACATTTCCGTCCGCGCATGCGTCGTGCAGCGCGAGCGTCAAGTAGCTGGAAGCATCTGCGGGGGAAATGGCGCAGGGCTTCGAAGACGTTTGGGCGTCGTCGTGCCCGCTCGGTGAACTGCGCACCCTTCGTGCCCCCCCTGTGGCCGAGAGTCCCGGCCCCGGAGCCGGGCGGCAGGTAGTCCCCCACCCGGTCCCAGGCCAAGCCTGCTCGCACCATGCCGGTGCCCGCCTCGTCGAAGACGGCGCCCAGGAAAGCGCCTTGCAGTCTGCAGACCCTCTCGGCTCTGCGGCACTCGGCCGCCACCTTGCCTCGAGCCCGGTCTGCGAACAGAACTGTGCCGGGGCCCGCCCAGTCAGACACGTCCGTGGCGCTCGGCGCCCTGTGAATCCCCGCCTGGTCGCCCGCGCTGAAGCTGCCGACGCTGGACTCGGCGGAGCGGGCCCCGAGGGCGCGGTGGACGCGCGCGACCGACGCGGCTTCGATCGCGCGTTGCAAGGCTCTCGGACCCGCCGCTGCGGCCCGCCAGGCTGCGCTGCAGCCGGAGGCTCGGTGCCGGCGACGCAGTCGCCGGATGCCTCGACACGTTCGTCTGCTTCGATCGGTGGCAGCATGGGCGGCCGCCGCCCGAAGGCGACCCTGCGCGGCGCGACGCGCGCCGCCCGCGCGGGCGAGGCTGATGCCGGAATGGAATCGAAGTTCGCTGCGACGCCTTCGCGCTGTGGCCGCCCCTCCGCGGCGCGAAGTGCTCGTCGCGGCGCGGCCCCGCGCCGCTCGGCGAAGCGAGCGCGCCGGCGCGGGGCACGTGTGTCACCTGTGCTCCTCTCCCCCTCATCCACCGCGAAGTACGTTGAGGTCATCCCACCCTCGTCGTCCACGACCAAAGTCTCCGTCGAGCCGAACAGCTGGGCCCGCGAGAGCCGATGGCGGCGAGCAGACCTCCCGGCCATTATGCCGCCGTGCACTGCGTCAGGCGGACGATCACGCGATCCCTGTAGAACAGGATGTCTCACTCAACGTGATGGTCGAATCGTTTCGACCAGCGGAATGCGCGGTCTGGCGCGCCGACGGCGGCCGCTTGCGACGACCCCTGCAGTTGTTGACCAAAGTGGGGATGAAGTCGAGGATGTCCTGCGGTATGTTGCCTGTTCGTAGCGCTCGCATCATCTCCTCGCTGGCAGCGTGCCACCGCTGGAGGAGCAGCTTGCGAAGCTCCCGCGTGCGTGTTTCGCGCGAGTCACTGCGAAGTCTTCGTAGTCACGCCGAAGCGAGTCTGGTCTGAGGGAGTTGGGCTGCCTGCAGCTGCGCTGGCAAGTCGTGGCGCTGCTCGACGAGGCTCTGCGCCTGCTGCTGGACTGGCTCTGAGCTCGGGTCCCTGGTCGAGCGACGCGGTCGCCCGAGCCGGCGCTCCGCGCTCCGGCGCTGGATGTCGAGCTGGCTCCTGATCTGGGGGCGGCCCCGGTCATTCAGACCGCGCGAATTCCCGGGGCGGGCTTCTGCTCGGTCGGCCCCGGCGGCCCTCCCAGGAGAGCAAGTGGGCGACGGTCATGGTGCTGATGGCGGTCCTGCGGCGCAGGCGTCGAGGACGAGGGCGCGCCCTCGCTGGCGGCGCCGGGGGCGGTCGCGCACGAGGCACTCCTCAGAGTCCCACTCGTGGCATCTGAGACGCGCCCCGCCAGGTCCCAGGGGGTCACTGGCGGCCCGAACCCGCGCCCGCGGTCCAGAACTTCCCGCCCCCCCTGCCCTGGCTCTTCCCGAAGCCCGCGAAGGTCTCCAGGAGGGCCTTCTTTGTCAGGGGGGCTAGTGAAGCGCGGTGGCTGCTACCCCTGCCCGTGCCCTTCCGTTCCATGACCCCCCGGGCGCGGCGCGCGGGCCTTCGGTTGTCGACGCTGCGCCGGCGCGCCCCGGCGCGCCCGCGTGCCCGGGAGAGGTGCGTGCGCGCCGCGTTGTCCCGCGGGGTTGTCGCGCAGCTCGGGGTCGGCGGCGGCTCTCCTCGCCGCGTGAGCTGGCGGCGTCGGCGTCGGTTCCTGGGTCGACCCCCGCTGCTGGGCGCGCCCCCCGCGCCGGCGGTGCTGCACAAGAGGCGCGGCCTCCAGGCGCGGCCTCGGCCGGCGCCGCCCCGCCTCTGCCCCCGCGCGGGCGCGCCCGCGAGGAACGCGCGCCGTTGGGCGGAGTGGGCCGCCGAGGCGAGGTTGCCCGGCGATCCGTCTATCACGTGCCCGAAGCGCCTGGGCTGCCCCGACACGCGGTTAGCTGCTGAGCGTTCGCGCGGTAGGCCTCGTTGCAGCGCTGAAGGAGCACGGTGAGTTGAGCGTTCGACGCGCCAACGGCGCGCGGCAGGAGGCAGCTGAATCCTTCGCAGCCGATCGTGAGTTGACCAACTTGCTGCACCCGGTCGCGGAGGATGTCGAACCTCGCCAGGAGGTTGTCGACGCGCTCCTACGACGGGCGGCTGAAGTTCATCAGCGCCGACGCCGCGGAGGCACGCTCCTCCTCGCCCAGCTGGCCCCATCGTTCGGCCAAGCTACGCTGATCCACGCAATCGCGCGCCATGCCGGCAGGGCGCGACGAGACGCAGCCGCCTGGCAAATCTCGTTGAGGTCTGAGTTCGCCACTGACTAGATCATCACTTCGCGCACCCATGTCTGAAAAAGGCGCGCGAGCCTGGTGCTCGGGCCCCCAGGTGCGGGGGTGGCGCGTGTTACCGTGCCGCCACCTGCGTCCACGCAGGCGATGCAGCTTGCGACGGCGCACATGCCGACTCCGATGGCCTTCCATCTGGAATGTGGCTCCCTCCACATGACGCAGAGGTGCTGGAGGCCGGGGGTCCTCAAGCGGCGTTGCATGAGTCGCCGAGGATACTTGCCCCAGATGTGTTCCCCTCGTCAGCGCATTGGGCGTCTGCTTCTGTCGCGTCGCTGTAATGCTCGCGGAACTCGGGACATCCCGCGACGCAATCCCAGGGGTGCTCTTCGTACGTCTTGTGGTCACTGTACTGAGCACCGAAAATTGGAGGATCGTCTAGAGGAATGCGCATCGGGATCCCGTCCTGCCCGGCTGGCGGACATGTGGTAAAGCGAAGGGTTGGGCCCCGAGGTGTGGTGCCTCGGAATGATGGCGTCCACCTCGTCATGCTCTCCACTGCAACCTCGGGGGGGTGAAAACTCAGTTTCCATACTCCCCAATGCGTCCCCGCTCGACAGCGGCGACACGGTCGCCGGATGCCCCTTTTGTTGTTGCTCCTCCCACGGCTTTCGAAACACAATCCACAACAAAAAAAAACCAGGATCTAGTTATGACACCGCATCTGTGAAAATTGTGTTGAGCAGCTGTCGAACGCGTGAGGCTACCCCCACAGGCGGGGACACACTAACAGTCTGGGGTCCTCGAGCTGCCCGGACATAGTCCGAACATGCCAAGGATAGGTCGCAGATCGGTATTTGTAGATTGGTATTGCTGTCCTTGATGAGGTACTGGTTGCGCATGTTCACTGGCCATGGCGGATGGGCGGATGCCCCGACGGACCCTCGACGAACGTCTCCTGCCAGTGGGCGGGAACAGGTGCACGAAGGCGGAAGTGTAGAAGGCGGTGTGCACGCTCCCGGCCGCGGGTCCTGGCGGATGGGCTGGTAGAGCCCCGAAGGACCCTAGAGCAACGTCACCTGCCAGAGCGAAGGGAAGGAAATGCACGAAGGAGAATTTATTGAAGGCGACGAAGGCGGCGGAGGGTTGAAACCATCGTGGTGGGAGCTGGGGTGAACCTGTTCCGTTACCAACTAATATGAAGATGTAAGAAGGGAAACGCTGTATTCCGTAGAAGGAATACAGCGTATAATGGTTCAAAAGGGAATGTCTGCGACGAGACTACGGCGGGCACAGTGCACTACTGATCAGGCCTTGAGCCAAGACAATGCAGCGGGCCAACAAAGGTGAGAAACAGGGCACTGGACAAGGAGTTACCATTCGAATGCGAGGACGAGGAGGGGGAGGAAGGAGGAAATGGAGAAGCAGCAGGAGGAGAAGAGGAGGATGGAGGGGGAAGGCGAGGAAGGACGGAGGAGGGCAGAGGCTGGAGGATGATGAGGAAATTAGGCAGGGAGGTGAAAGAGGGGAAAGGGAACAATGAGAAAGAGAAGGCGGAGGAGCAGGAGGCCGCATAGCGCCTTCCAGACCAGGTCTTCCCAGTGCTCCACGAGCAGCACGACGGACACCACCAAGACGGTGAGCACCCCAACTGTTGGGGGCTGTCAGAGACGGATACAGGCCGATTGTCAGCCTTGTGCTCTTCCATATCCTCCTGCTCCTCGTCCTCTTTCCCCGTTCTTCCTCTTCCCTCCTCTTCCTCCCCTCCTCCTCAAAATCGTCAACCTGCTCCTCTTCCTCCTCCTCCATCTCCTCTTCCTCCTCCTCCTCCTCCTCGTCCATCTCCTCCTCCTCCTCCTCCGCGTCCTCCTCCTACTCCTCCCCCTCCTCCTCCTCCTCCTCCAAGTTCTCCCCCTACCCCTTTTATCATCCTCCTTATCATATCCTTCTCCTTCTCCTCCTCCTGTTCCTCCCCTTCTCCTCCTCCTCCCCTCCTCCTCCTCCTCCTCCTCCTCCTCCTCCAGTGGCTCGTGCGCGGGCGCTTCGGGCGGCCCGCTCAGCACCTGTCCCTAGCCCTGGGCGTGCGCGCGCGTGCCTGGCGCGATTGCCCCCCCCCCCCCCCCACCCACCCACCCCCCTACACGGGGCGGACTGCAGTCGTTGGAGGCCGCCACGCTGGGGCCTCACAGCCCTGGCAGCGTGTTGGAGCTGACACGGTTATGCTTTGACAAGGCTGCGGGAGACGAAGTGCGTGCAGCAAGGGTACGATAACGGACCAGGTCACATGCGCGGCAACGGCGTTTCGAGGGATAAGATGTCGTGAAAAGGCATTACCTACGACTTGACTAATACGAACGCCTGCTTCGGTCTCACCAAGGATCGAGGCCTCCGCCGATGTCGGCCAACAAAGGCAAGAAGTCCAAATGACGTGGAAACGATAGCGGCAGTAACACCAAACCTCGTTGGTCATGTGTTGCTACTCGCCAGTGTGGTTACAACCGCATCTTCGCTTGTGCAGAACGGGGCAACTTGCGCGGCAGAGACAATAACGGTCGACCTGACCCGCAGGGCCCCCATCAGCGTTCAGGGGCCCAGGCACGATCGACATCTGCAGGGCAGCGTGGAGGCAAGGGCGACGCCGAGCCCCAGGAGCTGAGCATGGAAGCGCCGATGATTTCAGCCGCGCGCGTCGCGCACTCGGTGCTCTATGTCGGCTTCGATATGGAGATGGCAACGACTGCGTTGAGATGGCCAAGCGCCAGCTCGCGGAAGCAGCGCGCGCGGATCGCGCCACCCGGAAGCCAGGCGACCTTTTTTTGGTTCGGCGCGCGCCGGCCCCGCCAGAGCACGACGTCCACGGAGAAACGTTTGGAAGTGGAGCCACTTCGCGAGCGAGGGCCCAAGGCACCTCGAGTCCGAGCCCACCCCCGGGGGGGCCGAGCTGGACCCGGCCCAGGGCGCGGTGGGCGTCGCCAGGACCTGGAGGCCCAGGCTGCTCGGGCGCTCGAGAGGCCGTGGCCGCGGCCGCCCCCGGCGGAGGTGCTGCCGCGGACACTGCCGCGGCCATGGGGCGCCTGCGGCGGGCGGCCGCGGGTGCCCCCCTCGGCCGCGCCGGCGGGCAGCCGCGGCGCCGTTGCGGCCGCGCCTGCCGAGCCGTCCGCCGCGCGTCGCGCAGGCTTCGCCCGCGCTGCGGCGCGCCGCGGCGCCGGGTGCCACTCGCGTTGCTCCTGGTCATCCGTGAGGCGCGGCGCCCACGGCGACGGCGACGCGGACGCGGATGGAGGTGCTTGCTAACGACTTCACGGACCGCATCGTGCCTCGACGTCGAGGTGGCGAGATTTGCAGTTGCCATCCAGCTTCGGGTGCATCCTGTCCCTCGGCGGCGTCTCCTTGGGGCACCTCGGCAACTCGGGTCGCCGACGTGGCGCCGGTCAAACCTCGTGGTCGCTGCCCGCCCTCGGAGAGGCGCGCAGAGGGCAAGCGCACAACGAACCTCTTCGAGCTCTTTTGCTTCGCCTTATGGTTAAGTCGGGCGCGTCCCACTACAGGGGGGTTTTCGACGAAAAATAAAAGACATTTTAAAAATAATAAAAGAATACCATAAACACTCCAAAAGTAGTCCCCATACTATTTTTGGACTACTTTTAGATTTTCCTCCTGTAGAAGGACAAGCCCGACTTAACCTTATGGCCCCCAAGCGTCGCCCCTCCAAGACTTGCGCTGCCGCGGAGGCGTCGGGGAAGGGGGCGGCGTCGACATCGACGAGTTCAGCCGCAGTTTCTGCCATTTTTTCTCTGGGTGGCGAGGGGCCGTCAGATGATGTGACGGCGGGAAGGGCAGCGCCGCTCACAGTCTTGGCCGCGGCTCGCAATTGGCGGCTTCAGATATCGCGTGCGAGAGGCATGTGGGTTTGGATGCAGCTAATCACGCTGGTGCTCGTCCTGCCCATCAGCCTCGGCGACGAGGACGCAAAGGCTCTCGCCACGATAGTTACCGCATCCGTATTATCAACGGTTCTAGTTAGCCTCAACTTCAAGAATATCTCGATATGTCGCGCCCTCTGTCTGTGGCGATGGTTCAAGGGCAACATCGTCACGGGCGTGGTCGTTTCATGGCAAAAGAGAGACGATCAAACGTGGCCGGATATCATGTCTCACGCCTGCTGTCTCACTAGATGGTGGCAAGTGGCGCGCAGGTGCTGGACTTTTCGTCCGGGCCCATATTGGAAGGAGCTACCTTCAATACTATCCTTCGGATCACACGCTGGTCTCAAGATTTGAAGTTGCCGTCTATAGCCAACGCGGGCCGCGCCGCGGCGCTGTGGCAGTCAGCATGCACGTGGATCAAGGCGAGAAGCTGGGAGGACGCAGCGCTGCCCGCATGCGCCAAGCGGGCGCGCATCTGGCTTATCATCGAGTCCCTGCCATCATTGGTGCTGGTTGGAACTTTGGACCAAACATCATTGGCACCTGTGGATTTGCTGGAAAACTACCGGATCGGCTCATTGTATCCGAGGAGGGTGCCTATCGTGATTCCAGGACGTTGCACATCAAAGTTGCATTTCAGGCCGGCTACTGATTCGTTGGCCAGCGTGGCCACTGACGTTCGCATTACACCAGGTTCTCCTGCCAGGAAGCATTCTGCAGTTCAGTTCAGTGCTCGATAGGACCAACATTCACGTGCTCAGCAGGCTCTCAAGTTGGGTGGTCCGAAAGTTTTCCCGTCAAAGTTGTTGCAGCTGGAACCGCTGATGATGATGGGCAACTCACCTTTCATGTTGCCACAATGGATCCAGGAGTCGACTGGCCCACTCTGGCGCGGGAAGACTCAGTCCTGCGCGCGGGGGGCTTGCGGCTCACAGCGCGCGGGTCGAGTAGATTGGTGGACAGTTGCGCGATGGCGTGGGGCGCGAGCTTCTCCCCCTCTTTTCTGTTGGGGATTCTGCTGAATTTGCAAACAGATCACAGGGCCCGCGCTATCGCCACTCGACTGCAGGATGGGGCCCGTGCTCGGCATCGCCCTGCTGGGACCACATATTCTCGGGCGCATCGGACTGTTCAGCATCGCATATATGATGTTCATCATGCGCATGGTAAGGGTTCGTATGTAAGCACACCCGCAGGGGGCCAGCTTCTCGATTTCGTGGGTGGCAGGGGTCGGGATGCTCGGCTTCGTCGTAGTATGCCGCAACATGTCATGTGTGACCTGGCGTACCTCGTGGAAAGTGTGTGCGCGTGCGTGCTCAACCGTGGGAACATCACGCGCGTCCGCTCCGCTTCATCGGGGACTTCTGCGACCAGCTGGCGCAGCTGGAGGAACGACGCTTAGCTGCTGCACGTTCCAAGTCTATCACGAGTTGGCTGCGCCGTTGCATGCTATGCGTCCTCCTTGGAGGCGCGCGTCCGACCCGAACGCATAGCATGCCCATCTCGTAGCACATCGTTTCCCGAGCGGCGTGGCCAGAAAGCGCCCGCCACGACGCATGCACCGCGAGATTTCTCGGCGCGCGCGTCGCCCCTGGGAGGGCGACGCACGTGTAGTATAAGTATGTCTGGGCGACGCCGATTGTCCTGGAAGCTTCTCGGGGCAGGCCCACAGGCAGGCCGGGCCTGAGGGCCGGTGCCTGGCCCGAGCGAGCACTCAGCTCGGGCCGTCGAAAGTAGTCCCGGGAGGTGTCGCCGATGCCCAGGAGGAGTCATGGGCTGAGATTTTGGGACGCTGATTCTCAGGAGCCGCGGGGCTTTGCATGGAGATCCCGGGGGCGAGCCACCCCTCGGAGGCCTCCGGGACCCGCCCAGCAGGAGCCCAAGCTTGCCTCCGCCACAGGCCAACTCAGACAGGCAGCCAATTTGTTTTCGAGGCGAACTGTGGTCGGAGCTGATCAGTTTCGCCCGCGTCGCTGGAGCCTGGCGTCGAATGGTGCTCTGTCAGTATTCGGCAGCCTGTTGTTATTGTGCGAGACTTTTTGCAGGTGGCCGAGTCTTCTCGGCCATGTGCATATAGTCTTACTTTCAAAGCCCGATGGCGGGTATAGACCGATCGCGCCACTTGCATCTATAGATCGGCTTTGGGCAAAAGCTCGGGCGGAGCACGCACAGTCGTGGGCTAGTCAATCGCGCCGTCCATAGTAAGCGCTGGCGTCTCGGAAGTCCACCGCGGATGTGGCTGCTCGAGTGTTAATGCAAGCTGGGGCCTCATCTCATGATGGGCCAGGTCCGACAGCCACGGTGCATGCCCCCCTGGTAGATATCGAAAAATGTTTCGACACGGTCAGTGGGAAGCTTCTCGTCGGGGCCGCTGTAGCTCGTGTCTTCCCAGGCTAGCTCATGGCTCGATGCGTGCTTGTGTATATGGGTTCGAGGGGGATGTCCTGGGACCAGCATCTGTCGGGTGCGGTCTGGGCCAAGGGGGGATCCTGCCAGGGTGCGCGTTTGCCGTGTTCTGCCTGCAGTGCGCCGTGCTGACCCCCCTTTCGACTCAGTACACAAACGCACAGCCTGGGTGTATCGGAGCATCGGCCTGCATGCTGATGACAGCACCATCGCCATCATTGCGAAGGCTCGACGATCGTTCAGGCATGGCATCGTGTTCAGTACTGGGGCCCCTAGCTCATGCTCCGAATGATACGGGGCTTCCCGCTGCTCGCCATGA